CACAAGCACTTCCTGCTTGATTGTTGATTGATTGTAGATGCAAATTTGAGTATTCTATTTGCAGTTGCGATGCAAATCAGTGAATACATTATTATTAATTATTGTTGTTCTTCGAATGTGTGTGTGTAAAACCAACCTGATCCAACAGCCGTTAGAACAATGGTTTTTTGAAACACGCGGGTGGCGGGATTTATCGGTGGTTCCCACAGCAGGTTAAATTCTGCCGTTAGCAAGTCGACATCGGGCATTTGGTCTCCTGAACATGGATCGCCCCTCCAGAAGGGCGTCTTTGGGTTGTCCGGTAAAAACTGAAAATTATTGAGTAAACTCATTTTTAGAGAAGCAAAAGCGTTTTTGGTCGGTTATTTCATCGGGTTTGTGGAATTTTGAAGACGAGCACACACACAGACTAATAACGGTGGAATATAACTAAGTGGAACTTTGAAATTGCCAGAACCCATTATTGGAGCAATTGAATTAAAATATTATGCAAAACTAATGTGAACACGCTCCTATTAGAGGAAGCGTTAGATTTTCCAGCACCAGAATCAATAATTCAAAGATTTACGTGGAAAGTTGAGCCGGTAGGTTTGATCCAATCGGTTGCTTCAATCGATCAAAGTAATAGAAAAAGATCGACCATTATTGTTCAAAACTGTTGGTTCGGGCACTCCTCTGGGGTTGTTTAGGGAGAACAGGGAAAATAGTGAAGAACATGTGCAAAAAACTCGATCAGAAATTATGCAACAGTGCTTTTCAAGGTTGCCGAAATCGGTTGCTTTTAAATAACTTTTGACTGTGGAAACAAAACAATAAATAAGAGAACATCAAATAAAAACTAACGTAAACGGAATAATAGTTTTAGGAATCTTTTGAGCCACTTGCGAGCAAATCAAATATTTCGCGACGATTTTTGCAATGTGTTTGCCATTGAGACTAACGTGAGTGTCACATTAAGTGTAACTAGTCCAGGGTAATTGCGCTAAAATGAAGATAATGGGAATGAAACTATGACAAATCGAATGAGTTAAAACCAAAGTAAATATCCGTTTCCCAGCTACAATCGAATGGAAGTTTTTCGCTATTTGTTCCAACACTCATTCAGGTTGAATTAAGCACATTAACTGTAACAGATAATTTCATTCAGACCGAATTAGTAGTAATGAGGGGATTAATTGCCCGTTGTTCATGCAGACAATTGTTGAGTATTTTGCCTTGTAGTTTTTAATGCGTTAGATGAGTGGAGTCGACAAAAGCCAGTAAAAATAAGAGTGTGTCAATTATCAGTTAGTTCGGGCCTTGAATTCTTCAGACATATTTATTGAAGATGTTATTTCGATTTCAACTTTGAGTGTACGTGTTAAAATCAGCTATAAATCCTGTTTAAAGGCCCAGAAACGTATTAGCATACATTCAAGCAGGTTTTCATAAAATTACAACACGTCTATTCGTGATTTTTAACAATGAGAATATGCCCGCAGCGGAAGAGTGTAATTTCAATAGTCCTGCCTCATCTTCTCGAAAATAGCCATGAAGAGCCCAGTTGAACGCAACAACTGATGTTATTACAGAATTTCAATTAATTAATGTGTCTTTTTTCCAGAAACATTATTTTTAATGGGCGTTGCGAGTAAACGGTCTTTAAAAATGGTAGACCAAAGTCCATTAGCAATTTTGCGGAACGAGCATCTCCAAATGAATCGCTTCAAGGACCATTAACGCAAATACGTATTTCGTGTATAGATGCGATTCTGATCAGCATTTTAATATACCAAAACCGGGCATAGTAGCTCGGTGAAATCAGAATTACGTGACCGGTGTTAATCTGCATAAGAAATGGCACGACAATGATTGTCTGGGCGGGCACGATACAAAAGATGAGTAAAGTATTGTCTAGGAATGGAAATTGTTGCTCCAAACCGACTATTGTTGTTTATTAACATGCGTCTTGTATGGTAAAATAGCACGATGGATTGTTTGCCATATTTTTGTTACGCGAGTTTGACTTTCATGCTGCCAACTCTGAAGGGCTACAAAGTTTCTACTAATCGGAAATTCGTCCAAGCTTGAAGATTAGTTAGTCTTTTTGGGACTGCACTTCTTCAGTTAATAAATTTACACATCTTCAGTTAATAGATGCTTTTTACGCACCTATTATATAGGTATCGTTATGCTTCTTCTCCATTCATTGAGTACTCCATGTTCTGCCATGATCTTTCTGAAGACAGTTAATATTTCTTTCCGTATTTTGTCCCCTCTGTAATTTAACATTTCGTTTGTTATCTCGTTTTGTCCTGGGCGTTTTCGCTCTTTAAGATGCTTCAAGATGTATTCTATCATATTGTCTGCCAAATATGTACGTTGTCTTCTCATTGGTCTTCTTATATTAATTGTTCTTCAATTTTCTCATTTTCTCTACATGTTTTTTGCAGTTATGATTTTCAATCTTCCGCGTTGATTTTGTTGGTCTAATTTATAATTTGCTCCTTCTTACCATTCCCTATGTCTTTCTCTGATTTCCGTACTTATGTTTCTCCATCTCTTGTGTGAATGTAATATTCCTTTATTGGAGCACTTATTGTTTTTACTGTTTTAGATTTTTTGGTTGGTTGGACCAGTTTTCTTGGTTTCTGTTGCGTAAATGCGTTATGTTTCTTCTTTATTTCTGGTGTAAACCCTGGTGTTTACTTTTTTCTCTTAAGCAAATTCCTAATTAACAATTACTCGTAATTATTTGGAAAAAAGCAGTTGGAGTGTGATTCGTTCATTCGCATTTGCAGGCCGCGTACGCATGAAACAGCTGAAATTTTCAAAACAAATCAGCAAAATGTCGGAAAAAATCCTGTAGTGTATAGGATGTTTGAAACAACTAGTTTTGAGCGATTGAGGAACTTGCATGATTTTGCCTCCAAACCGAGTGATTGAATTTACTTCATAAATCTTTAAATTGTCTTTCATTGCGCTGGAAATTTTAAAACCTCCTCTATTCGGCACTTCGATTTGCTCTTGTCGCGGAATAATTCTTGAAATCCGAACTTTTAGGACAAACATTTTTAATTAGCTGAAWTTTCGTTGGTTTCTATCATCGCTCGGAAATTGAGCAACAGTTTCATTTTTAAGTGATTTCTTCGCGGTGTTTTGTAAAGTCGATATTTTTAGAAAAACGAAATTAATTCGGTTATTAATTTTAGTTTTTTTGAATTTTGAGTGAAATTCAAACAAATATAAATGGCTCTMAATTTAAAATTAACTTTGTGAAAGTGTAGTTAACTTCATGAGGATTAATGGGTAGAAAATGGAGGATGGGGCGCCAGCTTGCAGAAAGCTGGTAAGAATGGTCTCTAATCTATAAATCTGAATTGAACTGCGCTTAGTTTTCCGACAAGGAACTAAAGTTTTATGGATTCTTTAAATTTTCCTCTCTTCGATTTGCTGATTTCAAATAAGGTTGGTTTTCGACCGACTTCCTGCTGGTATTAAACACATTTTCTGGCTTTGCTTCGGAAGTTAGATTTTTTAATGAAGAGTTTGCAGTTGCGTGCAAGCGTTTATTTTCAAATCAACATTTMCAAAGCGCGCAAAATTAAGGATTTTATGCGATTTGAATAAACTTTTAAAGGTTTGAAGAAATTTTTATGACTTTAGAGCGCACTCTACTCTACTGAAGGCACACCTTTGAACTTGTAGAGTATTTTTCAACCACTGAAAATTAACTGAGACTTGCCTAAGCTCTGCAAATATATTATTTTGGAATTTTGAACAGCTTCAAAGTTCTACCAGTTATTTCTGCAAAGTTATTTGTCTGTTCGTCTGCTTAGCAGAAGCTTCAAACCCCTTTTGGGGCATTTTCTGTAGCTTTTCCTCCCGTAAGAAAACTAAACTAATTAATAATTACTTACAATTCTCATAACGCAGCTCGACATGTTTCCCACATAAGCGCTCTTGTTATGCGCTGGTTGGTCAATCACTTCCAAAAATTGCAGATTGACCACATGGGATTTGGGTGCAGCCACCTTAAGGTGACATTCGGATTTATTTGCATTGGCTTCTAGAATTATGGTACTGGATGCAGCATCGCCTTCTGATTCTAAAACTATTTCATCTTCCGACCCGCAGATGCTAATAGGAGTTGGAATCGCTGAAAAACGAACAAAAAAACTGGCTATAGCAAAAATTGCGAAAAACTGAAACAGATTTTCAGGCCTTATTTTGCTGGCCTTCATATATTTTACCTTCCAGCTAGATCAGTGGCCTCTTCAACCGTTAATAAGCCATTGTGGTTTGCAAGTAGACTAATCAAAAGACCGCAAGCCGCTGTATATATTGCGGTTGGAGCGTAATTTTTCACTTTATACTAACAAGCGAATTTCCCCAATATCTGCGTTTACAAGTATGTTTATACTTGTTTAAGAAAATGCTTTTATCCAACTAAAACAATCAGGATCGCATGCGCTTGCAGGCGCGATGATAAAACGCCTGATAACTGTAGACAGAAAAATACACTACTAAATAAGCTATTAACGTAACATCATTAACAACGAATTGATTAAATTCTGGCTTGAAATAAACTTGTTTTTCACGGGTTTGGAAGAAAAATATATATAAATGAAGCTGAAATGTGATTAATCAGTAAATGCGGTGTCAACCTGCTCATAACAGGATTGACCTTAATTTAATCAATATTGGAAGTGATCTCATCTAATCAAATGACATAGGTCAATATGGAAATGATTATTATTCTCCATTTTATCGGCTAAAGACGTAGAATACGTTCTGATTGAAATGGCGGGTCATTAGGCGTTTTTTATTACTATTATTACGAGGCCAAGGTTCATAAATTAAGTTTAGCACACGAATTGCAAAAACAATAGAAAGTTGAAGAAATTTATTTAACACAAATCTGTAGTTTTTCGGTAAAAGGTGGATTAAAAATGCGCCCAAACTGTATATTTGCAAACTGTGGGTATTTGAGAATTAGTTCTTTTCAGTTTTAACCAATCACTAGGTTGTTAATTGCACAAGAAGAGTTTGTAATGGTAAAATAAAGAGAAGAAATGGCACACAACGCCACCAAATCTGCATGAACTTTGAGGGCAACAGCTAATGAAAAAATGGAAGTAAATCGATTAACAAATAATGGCATTTGGACTTTCTAGACAATTTTTAATTCTTTTATTTCGTTTTTGAATCTCAAATTTGGTGGTAGACTATTTCCCATAAACAGGGTGTTCCTTAAAAAAAATATGATTTTCCGCGCGCTTCCAGACAATCTCCCAGGCAATTTTGCAGTTGAAAAATGCCATTCCAGAGTTCGCCCACTCCCTGTGCCCCTGAAACCTCTTTTTTGTCTCTTCAGATGCAAAATTGCATTTACCAGGTTTAAATCTACAATGCAGGTAAATAGCCGTTATCTCTAAATATAACTCGAGTGTCGTCCTAGAAACCAAGAAATCTTTCCGTATTCCTACAAAAATCGCGAAGTGAATGCTAAATATAGACTTATTCAAGATATTGCGTGCCACGAGAGTTGATGTGAAAATTTAGAAAGTTTCGAATTATGGCCTATTACGCTATCGACAAATCACTTGAATATTCATCGCATTTTGATTGGGAAAATGCTGGTGTTGTTTGGTATTAAAGTCTTGTTGCTAAAAAAGAAATTTTCCGGACACTTGGGAAAAACTAAAAACTTCTGTTCGGTGTGCCATTGTATTTTGCAATTAATGCCAACAGTAGGTGCGTTTATTTTTATTTTCAATGGGGTTTTTATGCGGAAAATTCATTTTTATTCAGTTATTTGAACACTCAATTGATGTCAATGCTTTATTCATTGTTTAGCTCATAAATCTTGAGCACATTTTCCTTTACTAAAGTGCGTCGAATTGTTACATAACGCGTTGTTGTTTGTTCATTTGCTTTTTTCAAGGAAACTGAATAATCAATGAATAACTTCTCGAAAGGTTGAAAAAAGTGAGAAAATTCTGGGTGTGGAATCGAGAAAAAATCTTGGTAGTGTAAATGATGAATATTGCAGAGAAAAATCGACTTAAAATCCTGCCTTGAATCGCCATTCAATCGGTCATTGCGGACCCGATTTTTGCAAAGGATTCTTGTTATATCTGATTAATTTCCTTTTTTAAATCCGCATTTATTGCCAAGTGGGTCAACGGACATATTGCGAAAAATGAATGCCTTTATTACGGTAAGTCGAGCTAAAAATAGCTTGTCGGGTGAAGCACCGCAAGAAAAAACTTGTTTGACCAGGAGGATCTGATGTGAAAAGCCGTGTGTTCTCTTGTGCATTCACTGATAAAAATCCATTAATAAAGACTTCGCGACCGTTTGCGCTCAAACGATGCATTAAAGATGAATTCCAAGGAAAATTTTATCCATTATTGAATTTTCAAATGGTCGTTTGAATCGGTGGGAATCTGGGAAAATGTTCTTCTAAATTATATCAAGTTGCACTCATATTCTCTAGGCCTTAGGAAACAAGCGATTGCGCCAATTTGTTCTTGCATATACATATACAGGGTGTATGTGTGTAAAATTATTGACTAGCGTGAAAATTTTTTCTCGATTTTTCGGTTTGAAGACAAATCCAAAATCTGCTTTACTAATAAATCACCAATGGCTTGTCTTAAACTAAATAAAATGTAACGGGGCCTTTTAAGGTAGGTACTTGCGGTTCCAAGTAATTTGCGGTTTTGGAACTAACCAACCAATGCATTTAAACAACAGTACATCAATGAAAATTCCGTTACTAATTAACAACAGCTTTTTTTGGACTAATTTTCCAAGTTTCCATTAAATGAAAAACTGTTGAGGTTTTTAAGGTTTGGCTGCTGGATCATTTGAATAAACTGTATAATACAACAGGTTGGGCAATAAATTGGCCAAAGTAATTAAAAATATCGCAATCATCACGACATTGGCCTTATCAAGCTGTTAAATGAAACTACAATGATAAAATGTTTTTAGTCTATAGACGCATTTGTGCTTCTTATCGTCCATGTGGTAATGGTGGCTCGCAAACACACATTAAAATCTAATAAAGTATTTATATATTTATTTAAAAATAACCGATAGGCCCCACAGTAATGACTTTTAACGTAATCGCAAACCAATCTTGGCCAAATTATGCAAAACATATAAAATAAAATTTATTTTTAGTCTGCAGTTGCGACAGAGGAAAGGAACTAGTAACCCGCATGAATATTATTATAAATTCGTTTATTTTCCTTATAGCCCACGTGTACGGGTAATTACCTCCAAATTTGTTTAATTTTGCCATTTAATTGAGGCGCCAGAGCACACCTATTAAGAATAAATACTTTATTAATTTGGTTATCAGATATGTGACAAATTCATAAAAGGATTACGCTCTAGTAAATTAGCCAATTTCGCCGCAAACGGTCTATTTGATTGATACTGATTGTTTAAATTTGCTTGTAAAATTGTTGTTTGAGTTAGTTTTTGGTGAAAAATTTGTAAAGCAATCACATACTCAAGTGAAATTTTTTCGTGAATGTTTGCAAAGTTTTGCGTCAATTTTATGTGCTATAACACAATGTCCTATTTTCCTTGAAAATTGGAATCGGGGTCATAAAAATTAGCACAATTTTTGATTGTATTAAGATTTGCAATTAGTGAGGCAGCAGTTTGTTATCTGGCCCAATTTATTTAACGTTTTCTCAGCCAATCAAAATGGTTTTATAAACTGCTCAACTAAACCAACTTTGTCCTCCCAAATTTGCCCTAATTTTGAAATTGTATAAATTATGATTGAATCCAGCGATTTCTGTTCTGTTTGAAGTGTTTTATAGTTCGATTATTTTTCTCTCAGTCCGTGTTTTTTTGCAAAAATCAAGTTTTTCAGATAAAGTTTCTACCGGGTTGGAAATGAAACCAGGAAGCAAAAGTTTGGCATGAAATTAAACAGTTGTACTAAAAGGATTTTTTATTTCAACACTAAAGAAATAAATATTGGCGCAATATCAAATCCCAAAAGGTTTTTAAAGTTTTCACCCATCTGTTCTATATACAGGATGATTCACAAACTAACTTTTGGTCTTGCAGGGATTGCATTTTTATCCGAGGCTGATTTTAAAAATCTAGTAGCTCACATTCAAGCTAAAACATCATCATTAACTGGTAACAGAAATTCAAAATACATTAAAAGTGACCCAAATTAAAATGTTCCTCGGAATCAGGGATTTTTGCAGACTCCATCCAAGTCAAGTTTGCTTTCAAATATTGCTTTTAAATATGCGTTCATTGATGCAATCCTGTATATTGAACTTTTTTCTTAAGTCGTTTATTAAGTTGTAGCTCCAGGTTTTGAAAATTGGTCCAATAGAAAAAATGTTATGACTGTAAGGCCAAAAGGTTGCTTTTTTAGATCACCCTGTAAATGAAAGAAATGGACGAGAAAGTGAAAATGCGTTTTGAGATATGAGGTCTCTATCTTTTTGAGTTTGGTGTTGAAATCCGAAAAAAACGTTTTTTGATTCAACTGATAGCTAGTCGAACTTTTACAAATTTTGCGTTTGCAAACTTTTTGGAAGTAGTTAATTTTTACAAAATTTTTACAAACAAAAGACTAGATAACCCTTCAAGGCAGCAATCAGAATTTATTCAATTCCAAACGTAGAGCAAGTTTGCGTTAGTTTGACTTAGTTTTTCTTGTCTGATTTAAGTGATAGTCTTCATATCTCAGCGGTGCCACTATTTGGAAGAGTTGTCGTCGAATTTTTTGTAATTTGTTAAGTCTTACTTGGGTTTATTTAGAATTTGTTTGATTTTTTGCATTATTTGGTTTTACAGGCCGCTGATTTAACATCGGATTAGATTAAACTTTTTGGTAATTAAACTCAGAAACTTTGCGTCTTTGGAGTGACGCTTCATCCAGCAAACCACTTCTGCTAGAAATTCCTTTTCACCACAACATAAAAGCCCGAAAAAGTTACCATTTTGCTCGCGAAAGCCCCAATTTCGGTTCAGCCATCAATTCAATAAATAATAAAATATTCGGAATATACATTTTCAATATCAAGTGAAATGTTTCCAAACCATAATTTACCTACGTACTGGCATGGCATGGAAAGTAATTAAATGCATTATTTCATTTGGGACGTGGCATTATTTCAATAACCAGACTGATAATTTGATGCTGAGATATGTGGTAGAAAGTGTTTTCCAGAATAGGATAACATTATGATTAATTACTTCATAAGCGTTCGTGTTAAATGTTGCCCGATAACTTAGTTCACCAATTAGGACAAATGCTATTGAACCTTTCCTATCTGTATAAGGACGCAGTTATTATCGAATCAGATTTCTATTTTATAATCGAGAAATTTACTATTAAATTAAGCAGATTGAATGTTCAATCCAACGTGCTTTAGCTTTATACTGGGAGAATATCAAAGTGTTCACGTTAGTTCAACAGGAAACACTGTTCCGCAGAATGTGGACGGAATTTGTCGAAATTCCAATAAAAAGATTGGTTTTATATTTTCATATTCGATTTTTTCCATCAGACGTTGGCAACGTTGGGTATTTTTCAGAATTGTTTTATAGGAACTTTAATTTTCTTATGTGAAGACTTCGTGCGTTCAATGAAATCTTCAACCGAGTGGGTTTTGTTTTCAAGGTGCCTTTAAAGAAAGCAACAATTAAGCGGACAATGAGAGCTCTTTAAACATTGTTCTTCACTTAGGCCTGTCTGCATCCCATCGATGCTTCCCAGCACACAATGTTATCAACTTTCTTTAGGTAAACTTATGTAAAGTGAGTGGACAAATTTCTATTTTTCCTTGTCGCCTGTTCGAGTTGCTAATCGATGGATGGCCTACGTGTTGAGCTGCAATCGTTTCTTCTAACGTGTATTCGATATCGTAATGTTCATATTTGTCGTTTTTTTAGAAAACATCCTGGTGCCTGGTTCTGTTGTCTAATGTATATTTAGAAGCTCATCTACGCAATAATTAGTCATGTTAACTTGTCACGGTTTGGGGACCAGTAAAAACTGTATGTAAATGTACTTTTGTTCTCGGATTAGGTAATGGGATGTTTTATGGTAAATCATCAGCAATCAGCGCGCTTGTTTGTGCTAATTGCGCTTCAAGCTCAGTGGAAATTTGAATAATGCCTACTTTTAAAGCGTTGGAGACACTACAAAGTTTTCTGTTATAGAAAAAAACCTTTCGTAGAACCCTGCTGAACCCAACCGATGTCTTAAAGATAGAATGGAAAGGTTCAGTGGGTCGATTCCACGGTAAATTACATAGCAGAGTTTGCTATGCGATTAACACCAATTTTCCACGAATGTCCGCTATATTGCAGTACTCTTTGAACCAAACAATTATCGCCATTAAAAGGCCATGTAAAGTTTACTTACGCGATGTAGAACCTTGAGCAAATCTCAACACAAAGGCACAAAACAACACAAATCTCATTTTAACTGGATACCATAAAAATCACACAAAACAACAACGGAAAAATTGTCTTCTTGGCGTTTAAAAGTCCCACCAGATTAATATGTTCAGCTCACTAATCCCCTAGACACAAACGCGCCCCGTCGTTTGCCGAAAGTTTTCACCCACTGTGGTTGTTCCAATTTGTCAGCGAACATCTTTAAAACACTATTATGGCACACACGTTATTGACCGCGAAATGGACTGAATTAGTGCACCAACATCAAGATATCAAGGTACCAGTTCCAAAGCCTGACCGGTTAGTTTATGCTATTTTAGAGCGTACCATCGAACCACACTGTACCACTCGATCTACCGAACCATGCGGAGTGGTAGGGTTCACTTTGTACCCGTAGAAATAGTAGATTCAACTGGTCAACACATCGTAGTCTCAAGTGAAATGATTCTTGCATTCTTCACTTACACGTGTTGGAAGCGAAAGAATCGTTTTAAAATCGTAGTTTTCAGATCTTCTTCTGAAGGTGCTTTAACGGCTTTTAAACTAAGTGTTTTTCATTTCCATCACAACTTGTGAAATTGAGACTCTTCAGACCTTCAAAGATGTTAAATCCCGCAAAACTCACCAATTGCCAGCGAAAGCCTAACTATTTTATGAAAATGAGCTTTACTGTCTCACTTAGAAAATGGATTGTTTGCAAATTCTGCTTCAAATCGGTATATCGTTTCATTGTTCTTTTCTTCCATTTCTTTCTTTGTGGTGTTTCGGAATATGATTTCTCTTGGAGTTTGACTTTTTTGAAAATTTTGTGAAAATTTTATGTTTATTTTAAGTTTTAAATGTTGGTCGATGTCAGTTGTCGGCTTCTGTTGGAAGGCCTGAAAGCTCAAAACATTATCTTTGTTCTATTTGGTTTTTATTTAAAATCATAAAAATCTGAGCTTGTTTTCAGCTGAGGAGTGAATTCGATTTTGCAATTTTTCGGTTATATTCAGTCCTTTAGCTCGGTTGCTATTAACTTCGTTAAAAGACGCTTTCGATTTAAGATTCTAAAGTTTTCTGGCAAATTGGTCTGTAGCTCGATTGCACTTAGAAATTATCTACCACCTAAATTTACCGCCTTTAAATTATCTACCGCCTTCTTAACATTTTTTGCTCCATTTTTTGTAGAAAATGTGAATTTATTTTGGAAATTCATCGGCGTCTGATTCGCCAAAGACAAACTATTTTGAGAAATTTATCTAAATTGTTTTCAGCAACTGCTTAAAAAACAGAAACTGAAACTTTCCTATATGAATATTAAGAATATTGGAATTTTGTACGAATTTCTATTTGCCTCTGATAAAATTTTTGGATTTTTCTGGAAAACCGTGCGTTTGACAAAAACTATTCAAGAGAGGAGAAATATTTTAAGTTGAACCAACTTTGAAATGCAATAATATTTTTTAAGAAATTTGAGAGAATAGTCAAAGCTTTGTTGCTCCAAACACCAAACAGCCCAGCAAAGAGTATCTTCGGGAGGTTTTTCCATCACAAACTATAATTCGCTTATAAGCAAAGTTCTGAAAAAATATAATTTTTTTCGGAAATTCATCAGTGTCCGAGTCTTCAAAAGCAAAATATTTCGGGAAATTTATCTAAATTTTTTGCAGCAATTTTCAGGTTAATTAACAGAACCTGAAACTTTCCTATATGAGTGTTAAGAATATTTGAATTTTGTACAAATTTCTATTTGCATCCGATTACATTTTGGGATTTTTCTGGAAAACCGTGCGTTTGACAAAAACTATTCAAGAGATGAAAAAGATTCTCAGTTGAACCAACTTTGGAATGCACCAATAATTTTTGAGAAATTTGAGAGAATATTCGTTGAGAGTTTGAGATTTGTTGCTCCAAAGACCAAACAGCCCAGCAAAGCGTATCTTCGGTAGGTTTTTCCCTCACAAACTATAATTCGCTTATAAGCAAAGTTCTGAAAAAATGTTATTTTTTTTGGAAATTCCTCGGTGTCTGAGTCTTCAAAAGCAAAATATTTCGAAAAAATTCTCTAAATTTTTGTCACCAACTGCTTAAAAAACAGAAACTAAAACTTTCCTATGTACATGTTAAGAATGCTCGAATTTTGTACGAATTTCTATTTGCATCCGATTACATTTTGGGATTTTGCTGGAAACCGTGCTTTCGACAAAACTATTCAAGAGACAAAAAAGATTCTAAGTTGAACCAACTTTCGAACGCACCAATAATTTTTAAGAAAGTTGGGAGAATGTTTAAAGCTTTGTGGCTCCAAAGACCAAACAGCCCAGCAAAGCGTATCTTCGGTAGGTTTTTCCCTCACAAACTATAATTCGTTTGTAAAAAAAGTTCTGAAAAAATGTTGTTTTTTTTGAAAATTCGTTGTCGTCTGAGCCTTCAAAAGCAAAATATTTCGAGAAATTTCTCTACATTTTTTTCAGCAACTGCTTAAAAAACAGAACCTGAAACTTTCCTATATGAGTATTAAGAATATTCGAATTTTGTACGAATTGTACGAAACCGTGCATTTGACAAAAACTCTTCAAGAGGTGAAAAATATTCTAAGTTGATCCAACTTTCGAATGCACCAAAAACTTCTAAGAAATTTGAGAGAATATTCAAAGGTTTGTGGCTCCAAAGACCAAACAGCCCAGCAAAGCGTATCTTCGGCGTTTTTCCCTCACAAACTATAATTCGCTTATAAGCAAAGTTCTGAAAAAATTTTATTTTTTTTTGGAAATTCGTCGGTGTCTGAGTCTTCAAAAGCAAAATAATTCGAAAAATTTCTCTAAATTTTTGTCACCAACTGCTTAAAAAGCAGAAACTGAAACTTTCCTATGTACATGTTAAGAATGCTCGAATTTTGTACGAATTTCTATTTGCATCCGATTTCATTTTGGGATTTTGCTGGAAACCGTGGTTTTGACAAAACTATTCAAGAGATGAAAAACATTCTAAGTTGAACCAACTTTCGAACGCATCAATGATTTTTAAGAAAGTTGGGAGAATGTTCAAAGCTTTGTGGCTCCAAAGACCAAACAGCCCAGCAAAGAGTATATTCGGTAGGTTTTTCCCTCACAAACTATAATTCGTTTGTAAAAAAAGTTCTGAAATTTCGGCTGATTCGTCGGCGTCTGAGCCTTCAAAAGCAAAATATTTCGAGAAATTTCTCTACATTTTTTTCAGCAACTGCTTAAAAAACAGAAACTGAAACTTTCCTATATGAGTATTAAGAATATTCGAATTTTGTACGAATTGTACGAAACCGTGCATTTGACAAAAACTCTTCAAGAGGTAAAAAATATTCTAAGTTGATCCAACTTTCGAATGTACCAATAATTACTAAGAAATTTGATAATGTTCAAAGCTTTGTGGCTCCAAAGACCAAACAGCCCAGCAAAGCGTATCTTCGGTAGGTTTTTCCCTCACAAACTATAATTCGCTTATAAGCACAGTTCTGAAAAAATGTTATTTTTTTTGGAAATTGATCGGTGTCTGAGTCTTCAAAAGCAAAATATTTCGGGAAAATGCAAAAAACAGAAATTGAAACTTTCGTATAGGAATGTTAAGAATATTCGAATTTTGTACGAATTTCTATATGCATCCGATTAAATGATTTTCCTGGAAATGGGAATTTTTCTGGAAAATAGTGCGTTTGACGATAAAACATTCAAGCGACAAAAAATATTGTAAATTGCACTTTTCAATGCAGCAATTTTTTTTTGTTTGTGGCTCCAAAGACCAAACAGCCCAGGAAGGAGTAGGTTTTAGAAAATAATTTCACAAAATTCTTTAATTGCGATAGCCTTATAAAAACGAGTAAAATGTGAAATTTTCATCAATTCCTTAACTCCTATAAGAATTTTTTTAACGATTCGAAATTCGTAAAAATCTCTGAATGCATTCAATTGAATTGGGGCATTTTTCTGGAAAACAGTGGAATTAACAAAAACCACTCAAGATACAAACAAGATTCTAAATTGAACAAGCTTTACGATACATGAATAATTTCGAAAAAATCGAAGAAAAGCGCCCAAGGAAGCCTGAATCTCAATCAGGTTCTCACTTCAAAAACTGAACAATTCTCTAATGAGCAAAGCTCCAAACAAAAACCAGAATCTCTTAAGGCAAATGAATTTATTCCTCCTAACAATAATTTCGTCGCCAGTATTTAGAGCCCTTACTTTTCCGCAATTTCCTCGGCCGTTTAACAATCCGCCCCTTCTGGATGCTGACTTTCTTCGCCGATCGATTCCTTTTCCAGGATCTTTTGGACGACTGCGATCGGCTGCGTATTTCCCTCGATTTCACTTGTTTGCTTCTGTTGAACGTCGGAGGAACCACGCAAATATTAGGGGCAGACCGCGACAGATGCCTGGCTATTTTTTCGTCTTTGTATCGTTGTTTGTTGTTGTCATCCGCATTATAATTGTTGTTAATTTCTTGTTTAAGACTTTCGTTCTGTTCGGCCAATAGTATGCATTGGCTTTCCAGTCGGCTGATTGTTTGATTGATTTCGGTGAAGGAATCCACAGTTCGTCGTTTCACGTCTTTGAGAAGCTTGATGATTTCGAACCAATCGGCCATAGTTTGAGTTGGTTTTTTGGGACTTATTTATTGACAATTTACACATACGTTCAAAAATCTGAAGTGACTGATGGGCCATCAGGGAATTGACGTTGAAACTTTCAGGTAGTGTTTGTAAGTACCTGAAGTCCTCTAGTTTGTATTGGCCAAGGATTAAAATTCCTGTGAATCCCCTGGAGGCAAACTGGGAAAGGAACAGGAAATGCAGACCGTAGAGGTCGTCTCTGACTGACTAAAGATCCAACTTTGCTTGGTGACTTTATTTGCGTAAAAAGGGGAGTTTCTAGAAGATGTTTAGTACTCTGTGTCATACCAAACCGCCATTAAACAGCTCTGTTTTCGSTCWTTGGGTGCACAAAATCGTTCCAATTTTACCCAAATTAACCCCCTGTAAAGTGAAGAATCGTCCATCTGATTAAGTGTCGCTCATCTGATTTTCATGGTTTGTCTTTCACAGGCAYAAAACCCAAACTATAATAATAATAAATAACCGTCTGATCGAGTTCTTTACACAATAACCTYGTTTCAAATACCATATACCAATTAATAAACGSCATTTGGTTGGTGGAAAGGTATGCGTACATGTGGGCCAATGCTAGATTAACAATTGCGGGAAATGGGACAATTTTGCCAGCGAAATTAATTATTTGCCCTGGGAATTAAGCCGGAGAACTTCCTTTTGGTGAAACTACAGTTGAACTAGCGGGATTTTCAATTAGTTTTGCTATTTTGCTTTGATAATGCGCTGTTAGTTGGACAGTCCACCGGAAGATTTTGGGAGGAAAATACGAAATTTTCCCGCTTAGTAACTTAACAGAATTCTTCTGGAGGATGGCATGTGTACGTACGTG